GGCTGGGACTGAATTTGCACTCCTCCTGTCTCAGCCTCTCCTAGTGCTGGAATCACAGGTGGGCGGAACTATATCTGGCTTGATTTTTCTCTGATGTTAGGTTCAGACTTTTTAAAGAGGAAGTCTGAGCTCTACTGTTTGCTGATGAAGTGACTGTCCATTCACTGCAGCGACTCAGTTTAGAAGCACATTTCCGTGATGTGCGTGATGACTGGCAGGAGTCTTCCAGTTCCTGAAGAATATTCTACACAGAAGAACCCAGGACTCCTAAGGCAAATGCCTGACAAGCTCCACTCCTCCTCCTGCACGAGGTGTAGGACAGACAGACCCCTGAGGACCCACAGACTATCCAAGAGCCAGGAAGTACCCAGACTGAAGACAGGTCAGCACATCTCCTTCCCCACCAGTGCTACCTTCTACTTGCCCACGAATTCCACTTTTAAAACCTGTGCCTGTCTCTAAGTCTAGGAGCAAGTGATTAATAGCTTTAAGAATGCCCTGGCACTGCAGAGGTTAAACTCCAAGGAATATCTGTTTGCAGAAAACTTTGTGGGGCAAAGAAAGCACACAGGATCTCACAGTGACTGAGAGTAGACACCTGGACCCCGGAAATGTGTACCCGGCCAGATGCTGCCAGTGAGAGAGGAGGCAGGTTGGAAGCATTAGTGAGACCCTCTCTGAAAACCCATCACACAAGGCTGCAGGTGCTGCTCATCATGAAGGCCCTGGGTTCCATCCCAGGACTGCAAAATAAAGGACAAAACTGACACAGAGTGCTAGAGATGACTGTGGCTCCATGCTGAGCGCTTACCCAGCGCACACAGAAGCCACAGACCAAACAGAGAACAACGCCAGGCAGGTGTTTCTTACACAAATGAGGAACTCACTTGTTGGTCCCTCAAACTCTAAAGTCAGACTTGATAAAGGGGTCACCAAAATGTGAACCCAGTGGTTTCTTCCCTCTAAGGAGAGGTGTGGGGGCCCGACCTCTCCCTGGAGATGCATGGTAAAGTGGCTGAAGGTGTTCTACACCATCTGCTCCTGGCCCCTGCCTGCTTGTGGGGTCCCCACCTGCTGGACCCTCTCAGTCACCTACCTACAGCCCTTCTTTAGGGCTCCCTGACCTCCACAGTGCAGCAAAGGAGCCCCGGGGACCTAACCTGGAGGTTCCCCTGAGTGGACACTCAGCAGAAACGGAGGGAAAATGTGACGCCCTCCAGCATGGCCTGCGTGCCTGTCAGCAAGGAGTGGCTGTAGGTGGCAGGGACAGGAAATGAGTGACACAGGAGTGCCAACCCAGACCACTGCCATCACTGCCCACCCTCAGCCTGGACACGGCCCTGGCTCCTGGCTTCCCTGCCCAAACCCTGGCAGTACCAAGCCCTGTCCCGCTCACCACTCACCAGGCTACAAGGGGCTCTGCATACCATGGTTGACCTCCAGGGACAGCACCACCTCCGAGTGGTCCCCTGTCCCTGAGGCTGGGTCTGAGACCCACCTGTGTGGAGCCTACAAAACACTTGCAGCCTCCTGCTGTGCTGAGCAGAGGCAGGAACTGGGGTTCACCTGCACCTCCCCCTTTCCTCCCCAACAAAAAACAGCTATAACGGCAAGGCCAGGTCTCTGGACCCCTCAAGTCTGGGCTTCCTACTACGCAGCTATGTGAATCTTTCCTGAGAGGAGCTGCTGAAACTACAGCTCAGCCGCTGCAGAGAGAAGCTCAGAGCCCCGGTGCCCAGGCAGTGCTGGGCCCAAGACCTGCTCCCTCGAGAGAGGCTGCTGTGAAGCTCTGAGTGGACCCTGCCTCTCTGGGAACCCCACCCCTTAAGCCACCCTTTAGTAGATTGAGAGAAACCTTTGACAGATAATATCCTCTCTGGGGGCTGCCCCAGCTGGATCCACTTGGCCATCTGGCCATGATCCTTCTTTGGGGCTCCTGGATACCCCCATTGATACTTCCATGGTGCAGCAAAGGGGCCCAGGGCACCCCTCCCCCACAGGATGCCCTGAGTGGACACTCAGCAGAAGCAGAGGAAACTCACACCTGAGGATTCCCCAAGACAACCACAACATGGCCCGTAGGCTTTAGAAGGCAAGCCCAGCGCCGAGTGGCCTCGAGGCCAAGGCCAACAGGCAGCCTGGAACGATGCTTGCTGAGCTCAGAGTCCTTTAGGGTCAAGTGGCCTCTGCCAGGCCAGCAGAAGCAGCTCTTGACCTGTACCATGCTATCTGCAGGAAGGCGCTCAGGGCCTCTTGACCAGGAGTTAGTAAGAGGGCCTGCAGTGCGGCTGCTTCCCTGTAAACTGGCAAACCACTGCTCGGCTCAGTCATAAACAGGGAAACCGTCCTGGCCTGCACAGGAGGCAGGGCGTCTCCTGGGGTCCAGCTTGCCCTGGCAGCCCTAACAAAATGCCACTGGGACAAAATGAAGTTCGCTGCCAACTCTTTGTCGTGAGTGCGGCTGAGAGCAGAAGTGGATGGAGCTGTGGGCACCATGTGTGTGTGTGTGTGTGTGTGTGAAGACTGAGCTCGTGCTTTCCGAAGCGAGACACACATGGGGTCGATGCCAGCCGGCTAGCTGCTGTGGAGAGCGGCCACAGACCCGAGTCGGCAGCAGCCGGGCTTTTCACACCATAACCAGTGAGGCCATCTCTGCTCCCTGCATGACTGCAGTACAAGCCGCCGGCCTTTCTAGATGCCCTACGGATGAGAGGGAGAAGAAAGCCAGGGGTGCTCTGCTTTCAGTCCTGTAGGAAGGAGAAGAGTGCGCAGCACCTCGACTTCCTGCCAGGCTGCAGGGAGAAGTCTGTCCTCCCGGTCACTGCAGTAGAGGTGCCTCCCTGCAGCAGGACAGGACTTCAAAGAGGACAATGAAGCTCTCACAGGAAAACAAGACCCCTCTGTCTAACAAACAGCAAGCCTCAGGTGAGCCCAATACACACATCAAAGTCGGAGATTAAAACCGGAGGCCGCTTCTCACCGATGACAGGGCTCGGAGTCCCCAGGCTCCGGGCTGTGATGAGCAGCTGCCCCAGTAAGACAGGCACAGCAGCACAGGTTGCCCAGCATGGCCTTATCCCTGGCTATGCGGTACCCTCGGCTTGGGACCGTGCTGCCGAGGAGCTGGGGTCCCACCTGAGCAGAGGCGGAGCCTTCCCCGGGACAGGCTGCACATGCGCCAGGCCGCTGAGGTGAGGAGGTGAAGGACACATGGAAACCCCGATTCTACTTAAGGAAGCACCAACGATCTGTGTTCTCCGAACATGGAGCTGGCTGACTTGAGGCGCCGGGAGGGGCGCTCTGCTCCAGGAGATCTGGGTGGCCTGTGTCAGGGACAGCAGTGGCCTGGCCCGGGCCGAGGACCAGCTGGTGGGCTCCGTGTAACCCTCAGGGCCTGGGCGACTTGCACTGGTCACTTGTCAGGAAACGTCAGCATGTGGGGGGCAAGCACCATTGGGTCACCAGACAGCCCTGTCATTCCCCTTCTCAGACACAGAAGGAAAACAAGTCATCAGAGGAATTTTGAGGTGGCCCAGAGGGCTGGCCTTGCCACCAGTCTACCAGAATCCTGAGAGTCTCAAAGATTTTTTTGAAAAAGAAAGAATGAGGACAAAGGAATAAAAACTAAGCCAACAATGTTTAGCACTGCTAACATGAAGGTACTTTGGTGAGAGGCTGAGGTTGGGAAAAATACTCTCAGTGTATTTATGTTCAGGACGCCCTCATCTCTCTGCACACAGTTAATTAAGAGCCAGAAGCAGAAGACAAGAGTGTCTCTTTCAAGTGAGGGCTTCTGCAAAGAAAAAAAAAACAGACAAAGGAAGCACATTTCCAGCCATGCGACATGCAAAGCCCCAAGTGTCACCGGGCCCAGGTGTGGAGTAGCCCCACCTGCCCCTCGAGGACACTGCCAGCAGATGCAGACCCAGAAGCTGCAGATACAAGAGGCGCACCCCTCCCCCTTCCCAAATGAAGCAAATCCTGTGCGAGAACCTGGCACAAACGCAGCAACACGGGCGTCCACAGCCCTGTGAGTGACAGAGACAGACAGACAGACAGCAGGGCAGAATCCGCCACATGAGTGACGTCCTCACACAGGACAGGAGCAGCTGTAAACACCCACCGATGTGTCGTCCCCATGTGAGCCTCAAGGTGGCAGCTCCCTACCCTGACACCATAGCCGGGGTTTCTGGAGGTCGGAGGGGGACCCTGCAAGGATCCATGTTGCAGATGTGACCCCATGACCAGGCACTGGGAGGGCAGAAGCGCAGCCCTACTGCAGCACACAGGGACCTCTGCGCCAGGATCAGGATTAGACAGGCAACAGGACAAGACCCTGGCACTGAATGCCGGCAGCTTCACAAGCAGAGAGACCAGTACACACACATGTGCACACCCATGCATACAGGCTCAGTCTCTGGCAGCCGGACCCTGCCACGACGAGATGCAGCCTCATTACTCTGGCCCACGACTAAGCCAAACTAAGCCTTTCTTCTTTATAAAGTGACCCAGCCTCAGGGATTTCAACACAGTGGCAGAGAGTGGACGGAGACACCAGGGAAGCAGTGAGGCTCACAGGGAGAGCCACACAAGGTGGTGCCTGCCTGGAGCTCCTACTCGTGGCCCAAGCAGCCTGGGTGCCCCTGACACCACAGGTCAGGCACCCCACTGCCAGCTTAACCATTGGCTGTCCATTTCAGAGCGGGAAACACCAGTCTCCTCTGGGCCCGCAGGCCAGCTGAGTGGGTCTTGTGAGGGAGAAATAGCTGGTGGAAGGGCACAGGCAGGGGGAGCTGTGGACACTCAGAAGCAGCCACTCCATCGGGGTCCTATCACATCGTCGGGCAAGGAGAGGACACGGGTGTGAGGTTCTTGAGTAGAGGAGGGGCTGGGCGCCCCCATCTCGGGCTCTTATCTCTCCCACAGCCTTTAAAGCTGACATTCAGACAATTGCAGACACCTGGACAGATGGCCGCCCCGCCCCCTGAGTGGCCACTCACCCAGCGTGTCCTTGAGATTCTTCACCAGTGAGCCCTTCTTCAGGCTGTTCTTGCGCTCCACGTAGTTGGACGGCACATAGCCCGTCCTGTTGGCCGCGTTCCGCACCCGCCACCAGGTCTTAGAGTCGTCCAGCAGCCACAGGCGCTCGTTCTTCTTGATGTCCAGCTCCTGGTCCTGCTGGGCCGTGTAGTCCCACTTGGCTATGACGATGACTTCCTCTGTCATCTTTCATGGAGTCCTCCTGCTGGCCAAACATTCAGAGACATAGGTTAGAGGCCATCTGACCACTGCGCCCTTGAGCGACTAGAGACACACGGCAGCAATAGTCCCTGTGACAACTCTTGTGAGGCCTCACCCTTGAAGTGACCTTCTTTCTACACAGGTGCAGCTCTGCTTAGCAACAGCAGCTTTTGCAGTGCGCACCGAATCCTCGCGCAAGGCCAGGCGGGCTGCAAACCCACACCTGACTGGCTCTGAACCCATGTGCCCATTGCCAGGGTGCACAGGCTCCCACTGGCTTGTGTTCATACATCAGCATCTGATGGTCTCTGCCATGCCCTCAGCCGGTCCACACACGCATACCAACTGCCCCATAAATGCAATGGAGAGTAGGAGGGCTCGAGCAAGTGCCTTCCTGGTTTGGGTCTTCAAACAGATGCTGGTGAGACCCAGATGAAGGCCAGGAGGGCAGAGTCACTCGCCAGTGTTGGCCTTGGCTACAGCAGTGCAGCAGAAGACCTCGGTGTGACGTCAAGCCAGCGTGCACGAGAGGGTACCCTGTGCTATCTTCAAGCCACTTCTGTAAAAATAAAACTGTTCTCAGACACCCGGATCCACATGCGTGCTGCACGTGGGATTGGTGACCATGGCATTCATCATTGCCCGAACTTGGGAGCAACCACACTGCCCTTCAGAAGGTGGAAGCGTGGACACACAGTGCAGGAAGGGGTAGGAGGCGGGGCACTACCGGGGCAGGAGTGGCTGGCCAGGAAGGACCCAGGGGCCCTGCCTGCACCCAGGTGCCTGCGCGCAGGGTTATGATTCTGGAAGTCTTCCTTGGTGAGAAGCCTAGTCACGCTCCTCTGAGCCCTCCTCCCACTCAGGCCTCACCTGGGTATTTCTGTTTTCATCTGCATAGCCAAGTGTGAGCAAGAATCCTGCAAGGGGAGTCTGTAAGGGATTCCCACCCTCAATCTCAGGTCAGCGCCCTCCCCTTCATCCGGTGGCGTCTGCCTGCTCCCTCTCGCCTGTGTCACCCAGGAGCCCGGGCTGCTCTGGCTGTGACCCTGCCCCGAGCCTCTCAGTAATTCCCCACCCAGCCAGGCTGCCCCATCACACTTTTCCTCATTCTCAGAGTTGAGCACTGTCCTTTCCATGTCCCTACTGCAAAACTCCACGCCCCGTCCCCAGACAGTCTGCCTCACTGTTCTTTAGTGTCATGGGGAAGTCCCCTGACCTGGCATTCTGCAAAAGGCAAATCTAGTCAGAAGGATCCATGATGGCCAGGGCAAGGAGGCAAAGCAGGAGATGCAGAGATCTGGGGCAGTAAAGGCACCAGGGCCGCAGATACGCGTCACTGCCCTGACCAGACAGTAATGTGCAAGGAGCAAATGTCAACACCAAACTGCTCCAGGGTAACGTTCTCTAATGCTGCACACCCGAGTGAAGCCAGTAGAGGAATCGGAGACGGGTGAACACAATGCACGCCCAGCTACAACTATCGCGGCAACCCAGGGCTCTGTATGCAGAGCACAGGCCAGCGTTTTTCCAGCAGAAAAATCACACTGCCCATTCCTTCCACTGCCCGGACGAGGAAGGAGGCAACGAGGACAGACACTGGACTTTCATCTTGACAGAGTCCTTGGTGTTTACTGGGTAAGTGCAGGGGGTAGGGACATCCGAGGTGTTCACTCTGTAGAAACCCAAGTGCTGTTTAATAATGTGACACTCTATGAACTATTAGAGGCATCTGTAAACAGACATAAATCTCTCCTCGGTGGATTAACTTCCAAATCTGGAGATGAGAAGCCACTGGGGGAGGAGAAAACACTGTGATCTGCACAGAGCATGTAAGCCCCTGAGAGCAGCATCTACACAGAGCCCAGCTCAAAGCTGGTGACAGTTCCATTGTCAAAGTTCAGAAAACACCAGGTCTGCAGGGTCAAGCTGGCACACCTGACCGTGACACCAGGTTAGGCTTCCAAAAGCCATACAGAGGGTCTGCTTAAAGAAAGAATGGACCACAGCAGGAGCAACCCAGGACTGAGAAAATTTCCAAGCTGGATGCTGGGCTTCATTCTGCGACTCCCAGGCCTATCACTGAAGCTATGTGCTTTCTTCTTTCAGGGCAGCAGGCCCTTTCCATGCACACGAATGTCACCACCACTGGGAGTGCTGGTCACAGCTGGCTCTAGCTCCATGTCTGTTAGGTGTCGGGCCAGGTCTGGTCACTGGGGTGTGAATGGGAACGGTGCGTTGACCTTCTGCCTCCTCCCTCCACTCTCTGCTTCCTACTCCTGCCTTGAGCACCTGGCCTCTGCTGGGTGCTTCTACCAGGCCCCTCCTACCACGCAAGGGCTGAAACATCTGAAATGGGCAATCAAGTAAACTCTCCTCCTGTAAGTTCCCGAGTCAGGTATTTTACCTCCCCACTAGGAAAGCCACAGAGACATCACCTTCTCCCGGCAGTGTCTCCCACAGGTGGGGCAGCAATTCCCTGCCGAGCTTGCACAGAAGGCCCTGAACCTACCCAGCACCGAGTATACTCAGGGGTGGACACATGTCCCAGCTATGACCTTGTGCCCGTAAGATTCAGGGCAGGTCCTCTGTGCCCCTCAAGGGGCCCGTGCTCCATGCTTTGTTCCTCGGAGGGTTTTCTGAACACCAAGTACCTCTGGAGTCTGCTGCCTTGTGTTTGGAGCCTGTGTATTAGCGGCACCTCTGAGCCCAGCTCCCAAGAGACCTCAGGATCACTGTCCTGGCCCTTGCATTACTTCCTGTGGAGCCTCTAGTGCCATGTGTCCACTGCAGTCTGTCTGGAAGGCCACAGGAAGTGCTGACCACAGCTATGTGGACCTCAGCCGCACATGTTAATGGCAGCCCGAGAACCAGCCAGAAACAGAAAGTCAGGTTAACACACATCGGCCTTGTTACTCTGCCTCCACCTGATCGCTTGGCCAGCACATGGACAACGAGAGTCACCCAGCTCTGCAGAGCAGGAGTCCACTCTGTGGCACAGACTGCAGTGGAGATCGGAGCGCAGAGAGCCTCGTTGTCAGCCCTCGGGACGCACGCACAGGACGATGCAAGCCTTACTGTAGGCCAGGAAGACTTGAAATGCCAGAAAATCACAGTGTGCACAAGCGTGTGCAGACACCAAATACACTCGCCCACACACAGGTGACTGATTCAGAGAGTGACTAGGAGGGAGAAGCAATCGGGACAATATAAAAAGTCCTCCTGCTGCAGGTTTCAAGCACAGCCTGAGCCATCTAATTAACACATACGCTTCTTGAAGGTCCTGAGTTTATTTTCTCGGCACTACCTCAAGCCTTCAGGGAGGAAACAGACTTGCATCCAGTGAGCCTGTGGGCAGGGCAGGAGCCCTTAAAGATGTCTAGATCCTAAAGCAGCACTGGATTCTGCTGGATTACGCAGGCCCTCCCGGCAATCACGATCAGCCCTGCAAGAGGTGATAATCCGGGATTATCTGGGTGAAGCAGGGTTCTTGTTTGCAAGGGCGGAAGGCAGGGAGCCAGGGGAGACTAAAAGATGCATGCAGCGGCCGAGGGCTGGGAACCCCCAGAGCTTGAAGACGTGAGCCCCTGCAGCCCTCGGAGGGGACACAGCCCTGCAGTTGTTCTGACTTTAGCCTTGAAAGACCTGAGTCAAACAGGTGACCCTGGAGTGCGGAGAGAAAAACCGGATGTTGCTTTAAATCCCCAGGTTCTTGAATGTTTCCTCCAGCAGCAACAGGGAGGACACAGGAACTCTCCTACACCAGGTCCACAGGAAGGGACCGCTCTGCTCATCCCGGCTGGAGGTTTTCTTCCCCACTACTGCGTCTCCTCTCAAGTATTTCAACACAGCACATCTGCATTCAGGAAAGGGGCACCGAAAGTCCCGGAAGCAGCTAAAACTCTGATTAAAATTTCAAGTTGTGCTGCCAATGCCAACCAATGTGACAGGAGCTGTGATAGCCTGTGGGGAAGAGAAAGGGCAGCCAGTGGCATTTGAAAGCAGGACCACTAATTACAGCGCGTGCACTCCGGCTCTCGCTCCAGCTCTCGCTAGGACACAACTTGCAAGCCAGTGGCTGTTCCAGCTCTCAATAAGTCAATTAAGCTGTGACAAGGGTCAAGGTCTTTCCACCTCCCTGGGACACAAAACTGCACTACCGAGAAAGGAGAAGCAACAGCAGATGCTTCTCCACGCAGAGGGGCCACCAGGCGTGGAACCCTGTGAGATAGACGTCATCGCAGAATGCACTTATGAATGGCCACACAGAGCTTGCAGAGGGGAGGATGTGCTTGGCCCCACTCCAGAGTGGAAAGTGCCCGCCAGCAGCTTCTCATTGCCACGCACAGGTTCGCTTCCATCTCTCACAGCCTGCTGCTCTTACCCCATAGCAGAATTTTGCCGCATTGCTTAAAAAACAAACTCCAGGGAAAGAGGGATACGCCAAAGCTGAATTTTTAATTCCCTTTTAGTAAATGTGTGAGTGAAATGGCCACGAGAGAGGCAGCGGACGCTCAGACCTCCCAGGTAGACTCTGAGAAGAGGTTTATCTGTTTTCTGTTACCTCACTGGGGCGGGGGCAGAGGGAGGTTGGCCCTAAGCAAAGGGGCCGGGTTCCAGCCCCAAAGTATAAGGCGTGGTGGCCTGGCCCCCATGCCTGGCCTCTCTCCTGCAAGGCAGGGGACCAGGCCCCTGGCACAGGCTTTGAGACTGAGACTCAGAATCATCTAAGTACTTGTTTAAAGGTGACAGGCTGTGAAGTCACCATGCTTTTGACATTTGTGAAGCCACTTATGAGACCCCCATCTCAGGATGTTCCTGGCTGGGCTGGAAAAGCCAGGGCCCAAGAGCCCTGCCGGGGTGGGGAAGGAGGCGCTGACCCCTGACCTCAACTCCTGCGTGTGCAGATCAACTCAAGGTCACAGCGTCTGCAAGGGTCACAGAGACAGCCCCCAGGCAGCAACCAGCACCTGTCCATCCTGGACATTGTCAGGCACTGCTTTCCAC